CCGACACCCCCTCCTTGCCCCCTGCTCCTCATTGATATGCCTCAGGGGCACAATAGAGGGCCTGGGAAGCTCTGACTTTGCAGCATTCAATGCACAGCCTCCCTATTGTCTGCCCAGCAGAAGTTATTCATACTGGGGGTCCCCCCTCCTCACCCCCCTCTTCACTAGGGATGAAGGACCATTCACGTGAAACCTGTTCCTATTGGACGGAGGAGATGAGCCTGCTTGTGGAGCCATTCAAGAGCCAGCGGTGAGGAGATTTCCATTTACTAATTGCCTGATTTCAGGAAATAGATTAGGAAAGGGTTAAATCTCCTTTTATATGTAGGAAAGTGTTACATCTCCCATTATATTATGAAAGGGTTAAATCTCCCTTTATATTTAGGAAAGTGTTACATCTCCCATTATATTATGAAAGGGTTAAATCTCCTTTTATATTAGGAAAGAGTAAAATCTCCCTTTATATTAGGAAAGGGTTAAAACTCCTTTTATATTAGGAAAGGGTTAAATCTCCCCTTCTATTTAGGAAAGGGTTAAATCTCCCTTTATATTAGGAAAGGGTTAAATCTTCCTTTATATTAGGAAAGGGTTAAATCTCCCTTTATATTTAGGAAAGGGTTAAATCTCCCTTTATATTAGGAAAGGGTTAAATCTCCCTTTATATTAGGAAAGAGTTAAATCTCCCTTTATATTTAGGAAAGGGTTAAATCTCCCTTTTTTTGCTGTATCCTTCCCACTGGGGAGAGTTCAGGAAGTGAGAGGAAATTTCTCCGAAGGGAATTCCCTATGATCAGCGCAATGTTTCCATTGGAAGATTTCCTCTCTTCCCGTTCCAGCGACAGTTGTAAGTCTTTAAATGGTGCGGATATTGGGGAGAAATGGGTGCGGTCACTGAGGGGTGTGGTCACTGTGGGGCGCTGTAAAGCTTTCTCGCACAGGGCGCCTAAAGGCCTAAGGCCGGCCCTGCTGAGGAGCATAAGGAATAAGTATTTCTGTCCTGTGCTCCTCAGCGCCATCTAGTGGCCAAAATGTATCACTACATCACACTACATTCACACTGGGGGGGGGGAAATATGTATCAAGATCGTTTGTTTGCCGGATTATTCACCCAAAACGAACGTTCACAGATTTTCGCCGGGTGAGGGGCCCTCCGAATTGTTTATAACTAGACCTCTGTATGTGTATTTCCCGTGTTTCGTGCATATAATTGACCTGTAAAAGTCTCCAAAAGCCCTGAGACCGCTGCCGGGTTCCACCATCTTAGATGCGATGTCAGCGGACTCAGAGCTATCACCCTTTAGGCCCCATTCACACTGAGCGATCTATCGCGTGGTAATCCGCGCGATATCGCGGATATTTATCCGCGCGATATCGCTCTCCAATGCATCTCAATGGGGCTCTGTCCGTCGATGTCGCGGGTCGTGCGTCGCTACAGCAGGACCCTTTTTGGAGCGGATTTTGCCGCGATTCTAGGTTGCTCAATGCAACCATTTGCGCAATATCGCGTGACAAACGCGCGAATCGCTCAGTGTGAATGGGGCCTTAGTATTCCGCTGGGCAAAGAAGGAGGGGGGGGGGGGAGAGCCATCTTTGTTCAGGCGTCATCCAGGGGGGGGTCACCATCTACTTCCTGAACTGAGATGCCGGCTCAAGAGATCAGCCCCCTGCTGCAGCCTCTCACCTAGCTGCGGTTGCAGTCCGATCAGCGTGGGGACGGGGAGACTGGCGGACGTGGCACCTTATCTAGAGTGACAACACTCCCTGAGTGGCCCCTAAGCAGGAACAGTTTTGTCGTCATAAGAAGCATAAGCCTTGTGGACTTCATGTCCTAGGGTTCAACACTGCTTCTGCTTAGGAAGCCCCCCAAGAAGTGTTGTCATTATGCAGGTCATATAACCTGGTGCTTCTGCCAGTTTCTCGACTTCCTGTCCTAGAGTGACAACACTCCCTGAGTGGCCCCGAAGCAGGAGCAGTGTTGACATCATTAGAAGCATGCTCCCTGTGGACTTCCTGTCCAAATGTGACCACACTGCTCCAGGGGGGTCACCATCTACTTCCTGGACTGAGATGCCGGCTCAAGAGATCAGCCCCCTGCTGCAGCCTCTCACCTTGCTGCGGTTGCAGTCCGATCAGCGGGGGACGGGGAGACTGGCGGACGTGGCGCCTTATCTAATGTGTGAATTGGCGCACGTGTCCGCGTGTTTTTTCCTTGGTGACATACAACCGTTCAGAATGCGATGGGGGGAGGGGACGGCGCGTGACGCGGACATAGAAGAGGAAGAACGTGACATTGTTTTTTGAGGTTAACTAACATTCTTTCCATAATGTGCGTCCCTCTCTCTCTGCGTGATGACGGCTGTAATCTTCCCTCAGCGGCAGCCGGAATAATGGCGGCATTGTGGCATCAAAAGGTCGTCTACGGCTCATTAGCACATTCCAGCTGGGTGGGCAGTTTTTTTCCGTGACTCAGATGGCGCTCGCGGCGCAGCGAGGGTCCATCCATCCGACGGTCGGCCTCACCCATTATACTTCACCGGGATGCCACCATAATTATAGTCCCTCGCAATCACATTTCAGTCAGGCTCCCAACGTCTGCACTGCAATTATTCCCAATGCGCTCGCTCTGACATCCTCCCCCGATGGCGCCCGCGCGCGTCACCACCCGATCGCACGCTGTCCCCATTTCCAGTGCGTCTAAACCTAAAAATCATAAAATAAAATGGGTCACCCTCCACCTGTTCCAGTGGTGTCATTCTTTGCTGTTGTCATTCTGCCAGTTTCTCGACTTCCTGTCCTAAGGTGACAACACTCCCTGAGTGGCCCCCAAGCAGGAGCAGTGTTGACATCATTAGAAGCATGCTCCCTGTGGACTTCCTGTCTAAATATGACAACACTGCACCTGATTAGGAAGCCCCCCAGGAAGCGTTGTCATCATGCAGGTCTTTTAACCTGATGCTTCTTCCAGTTCCTCAACTTCCTGTCCTAGAGTGACAACACTCCCTGAGTGGCCCCTAAGCAGCAGCAATTTTGACGTCATAAGAAGCATGATCCTTGTGGACTTCCTGTCCTGGGGTGACAACACTGCTCCTACTTAGGATGCCCCCAAGAAGTGTTGTCATTATGCAGGTCTTTTAACCTGGTATGCTTCCAGTTTCTCGACTTCCTGTCCTAAGGTGACAACACTCCCTGAGTGGCCCCCAAGCAGGAGCAGTGTTGACATCATTAGAAGCATGCTCCCTGTGGACCTTCTGTCCAAATATGACCACACTGCTCCTGCTTAGGAAGCGGCTCTAAAAGTGTTGTCATTATGCAGTTCTTTAACCTGGTCGTTCTTCCAGTTCCTCAGCTTCCTATCCTAGGGTGACAACACTGCTCCTGCTTAGGAAGCCGTTAAGCAAGTCTTGTCAGTTCGGAGATTCTGCCAGATCCTCCGCTTCCTGTCCAAGGGTGACAACACTGCTCCTGCTTAGGAAGCCGTTAAGCAAGTGTTGTCAGTTCAGAGATTCTGCCACTTCCTAAAATTCCTGTCCAAGGATGACAACGCTGCATGAGCAGCTCCTAAGCAGTAGCAGTGTTGTCATCGTAGGACGCATGCTAACCGTGGACTTCCTGTCCTAAGGTGACAACATTGTTCCCGTCGCTTCCGCTGTATATTATCAGGATTGTATCCGCGCAGAACTTGTGAAGTTCATTTAAAGTCCTCGTCAGATCTGCAGCGCGCCCCCTACGCGCTCCGATATTTCTTTGCCGGCTTCTTGCTGTTCCGTGTTCCCGCTTCTCGCCCCCCCGGCACTTTACGGGAAGGCTCGCTGTGCAGGTCTCCGGGAGCGGCAGGGAACGGCGCCAGCACTTTATCGTCATGGCAACCCCCCAAAAAGCTTTAAAGTCTTGACAAACACGTCGAATTTTAGCTTTATTGAGCCGCCGCGCGTCGACTGCCAGGAAATGACCACCGGGAGGGTTCTACGCGGACCGAAAATATAAACAATAACCGTTCCAGAGGCGGAAGCGTGAATCAAACAGCGTCCGCGGAGCGTCCGCGTTGTGCCTGGCGAGCGATCGGGTTTCGGTTGTCGTTTCCGCAGCTCCGGATACAGAATGGAGGAGACTTGTCTCTCATATTGAGCATCATCATCATCCGTAGACGGCGCCGGTCCCGGATTTCGCGACTCTGGGAGCTCATTGCCGATAGACATGCGCAGGGCAAAAAAAAAATTGTTTCGGCAACGAGCCTCCGAATCCGAAACCGCACAAAGAAACTGCAGAACGAGCGGCGTCCGCCAGCGCGTTCTGCGCATGTGTGCTGCCATTTTGGACTGTATCTTGGTATACACCAAGATGGCGGCACCCGAATATGTAGGCGTCGCCATCATGGTGCATACCAAGATATACTCCAAAATGGCGGAGTGCATTCACAGAACACGCCAGCGGCCGATTTGGCCCGACGCTCACTCTGCGAATTACGTCATCCCATGACGTGGCGTCGTGTCACGTTATGCACCCCCGACCTCCAAGACGGTGTCGCGCATGTGCTGAGCGCGCCAGATGCCGATTTAGCCCGCCGCTCGTTCTGCGAGTAACGTCACCGATGACGTGGCGTCGTGTCACGTTATGCACTCCGACCTCCAAGATGGTGGTGGGCATGCGCAGAAAACGCCAGCCACGTCGCTGTGACAGGGGTCGTAGGCCTCTCGCACACGGGCGCCCGCAATTCGCGCCCGGCACCCTCGTGCGCCCGGGTGCCCATTGTGATCAAAGTACAGTTGGCCCCACAAATCCAAAAAATTGTGGGAGGATGCAGCGACCCCGCTGCCGCTAACCAGCAACAGATGCAGAGCATGCGGGGACTTGCAGTCCCTCAGCACCAGCTTTGTCATGTCACAGATATTAGGGAACGTCAGCCAATGACATCCCGCCGATCATGTTACCAGCCATAGAAAGGATACAATGTAGCCCCCTCCCCTCCCCCCTCAGCAGTTCTATGAACACTCTGTGACAATATGCTTCCTGGAAGTATTGGCAGAACACAAATTGCAGCCTTTCCAGCCAGCGATTGCTTTTTGCTCGGCGAGCGCGCCTCTGCCAGCCCCGCTGGTGACACATTTCAAGAGAAACATCCACAGCTCCACCACCGAGCTGTGATTAGTCAGCCGGAGCTGTGCGTGACGGTGGAACCAGCCGCCACCGCCGCGTTCCGGGGTGACAATTAATGCCGATCACCAAAGTCTCGTGTCAGCTCTGACATGTTCATGACATTTCATAAATCCCCGGTGGTCCTGCCATGGAGGTGCTTGTTCATGCACTTCCTGTTATAGGGTGACAACGCTCTGTCCTTGTCTCCTTATTGTGCCTCTGCGTTGTCACCTTGTCACATGACACACATTCACAAGCATGTCTGGCCGGTCCAGAGCAATGATGTGCAGCCGATGCCGGAGTGAGTGCATAAAGACAGTAAAAAAAACAGTGGCTGAAAGCAGCTGGAGGAGATCAGCAGCACTGAGATGGGGAAAAGAATGAAAAAAAAAGATATAGAGAGGATTTTATGGGAAACAATGACATACAAAATGTCATCCAGTTCGGGTTTACATCTGCTTCAACCAGAGGTGTCTCCGGGCTGGGTGTCACTGACTGGGACGTCATCACGCATATTGTTAGGCACATGCGTGATGTTATCAAGCACTCACGCGCACTTTACTGCCAGCAGCACTCCCGGTGATGGACGCCGGCACAGAGGAGGGGACGTTCATGCGGCGGGATAAATAATGCCACCGTGTCCCCTCCTCTCTCATGCAGCTGTTAGGCTCTCGGTCCTTGCCAATCATTTTTGGTGTCAGCCCCTCTGATGGTGTCACCAGGTGCCCCACCCCCCCTTGTGACGTCACTGGTAGTATTGCCACCTGCCCCGGATTCGTCCCCGGACAGTCCGGGTTTTGAGTCCTGTATGTACTGTTCCCTTGTTTCGGGCCAGCTGACACCCAGACGCAGCACATACAGGACTCAAAACCCAGACTGTCCAGGTGAATCCGGGACAGGTGGCAACCCTAGAACTCACTGGCAACCCTTTACCACCTCTTCCTCCCGGCCCTTTAACTGACTCATAATGCTGGGAGGCGGAGTCCTGATCATGTGACCGCTGTGGATGGCTGTCATTGGGCAGAACAATTACTGATTTCATGAACCAGTGTAAAAATTAGTCAGATTTTGATATACGGCATTGCGAGGCGATATAAGAATCAAAAAACAAGTATTTGGAGACTCTGGCGCCTTTGCACATGGCTTTGTTTATCAACAAAACCATGTGATCAGCTGACAGGGCAATCACATGACTCTGTTTATTAACAAAACCATGTGATTGTGATCAGCTGACAGGGCAAAACAAATGACAAAAGCACTCAACAATTTGTCACCAACTATACAGCAAGGTGCACACGGCGCCTTGGCGCGGCTGTGCGGCTTTCACATTTGCTGCAGAAGACGTGTATCCAAACCTCTGTTATTGACCTTTGTGATGAGACAAGTTTTTTTACATGCTGACTTGTGAGTGTGCCATGATGCCTTTCTACTGTCAGCTGACAGGGCAATCACATGACTCTGTTTATTAACAAAACCATGTGATCGTGATCAGCTGACAGGGCAAGCACATGGCTTTGTTTATAAGCAAAGGGTGAGGGTTATGGTTTCCAGGTACAATGACAGGTCCAGCACAGGTGAAAGGAGCTTTTGTAACCCACATGAGCCATTTATAGCCCAAAGCCCCTAAAATCCACCTACATGTTTCCTTCCTCATTGACTCCACTTCCTGTCACCTAATAATGAAAGTTTGGAGGAAAACTACCAATTTTCATCCTACCTAATGGCAATGATAAATGAAAGGACGGTTCACAGTAGGATGAGATACATTCTTCAGGGCCAAAAATGTTCAGGGTCAAATCAGCAGCTCCAGGGACTGTCTGCAAGGCCACAGCGCCCCCTGCTGTCCACACGCAGGCTTGCAGCACTGGGATTGCCATTTAGGTCTACAGCATGTAAACTTCCCGCTCAACCTTTATAAACCTGCAGCATTCATGAAAATAATGCCAGTCATCACTTCGCAAGCGCCGACCTGCAGTGCTGGGAAGTGGTATTGGGACACAGCGCCACCTGCTGTCTTCATTCCGCAAGCTCAGGCTCCCCTACTGGAATTGCTGCAACGACACAGCGCCACCTGCTGCCTTCACTCCGCAAGCTCAGGCTCCCCTACTGGAATTGCTGCTACGACACAGCGCCACCTGCTGTCTTCACTCCGCAAGCGCCGCCCTGCAGTGCTGGGAATTAGTATTGGGACACAGCGCCACCTGCTGCTGGGAATTAGTATTGGGACACAGCGCCACCTGCTGCCTTCACTCCGCAAGCTCAAGCTCCCAGTACTGGAATTGCTACGAGGACACAGCGCCACCTGCTGTCCAGTCAGTGCTCACAGCGCGATGATATCTGCAATCGGCAGCCCTGCTGGGGAGCGCCGAATGATCGATGGGTGTCATGTCTGCAGACTGGTGAGCACGTTGTTGTTGCTGCTGCTGGGGACACTCTGTTCTTTCACTTTATCATTTGCATTCATTTATCAGCTCTGGGTCTGTAGAAGGAGGACGGTTTTTGCCCCCTCTGAGTTCCCTGAAGGGGCTCTGACTGGTATTATTGGGGTACAGCTGACACTTACCTTATGAGTGCCATTGGCAGCAGTGCTAGCTGCTCCTGGCTGCCATAATTTGTCCCTGGAAGTGTCCCTGGTGTTGGTTTCACTTCAGTGTACCGTAGACCTTTCCTTCGCTGGCCATTGTTATGTACTTGGGCTCTTTTGACGTTAGACACACTTGTGAATGGTGCCTGAAACATGACACTGTCAGAGCTTTGGTTTGTTTATTTATAGGCATGTATTGCATAGGCAGGAGCTGGGTTTAAAGGACCGCATGGTTGTGTAGCATACAATGAGCGCTCATAGACTTACACATCCTCAATGGATATACACTGCAAATGCTGATCAATGTGAATTAGAATATTATATATTCTGCTCTGTCCTGGCAGCTGGGAATGTCCCTGGAAATGGATATTGAACTAATCACTTTATATGGACTTGTCCTTTAAGAAGGGGCAAATCGTAGACAGCTGGCATTTCTGTACTGATGGACCCGTAGTAGGATTGTACCCCTTTTGTCACAAGGACAGGAAGTGACGATAAATCTTCCCCCAACAAGGGACATCCGACAGAGGATCTAACCCTCCCCCGCTGTACTAGGTGACAGGTAGTGATGGGCTGGGGCGTGTTCGCAGCTCCATGCGCCGAGCCCGCCAGGAAGCTGACAGCGCCAATCACAGGCACTGAGACATATCCCGATTTCTGCAGCTGCGGACCGGGAAAATGTCTCAGTACCTGTGAAGAACAGCTCTGGCCAAACCCCCGGAGCCTGGGAGGTCAGATGTGCGGAGCCTGGGAGGTCAGATCTGCTTTTGTTGTCAATGGAAACACATTGGCTCTCAAGACTGGCCAGCTACTACACCCTGTATGTGCCAAAAAACAGGCCAACCTCAAATACTATGTAACTGTGCAGGAACTATTAAAAACTA